GGGCGCTGTGGTAAGCGCTTGTAGTCCCAGCTACTTGAGAGGCTGAAGCAAGAGAACTGCTTGAGTCCAAGAGTTTAAGGTTGAGGTTGCTGTGAGCAATGATGCAGTGAGACTCTACTGGGGGTAAAAAAGTGAGACTGTCCCAAAAAGAAAGAGCCAGATGTTGTGACAGACACATATTGTTCCAGCTACTGGGGAGGCTGAGACAAGAGAATCGCTTAAGTCTAAGAGTTAGAGGTTCCTGTAAGCAATGAGCAATGATGCAACGGCACTCTATGGAGGGCAAAAAAAATGAAACTCTGTCTCCAAAAAAAAAAAAGCAATGAAAAAAATATCAGTAAGAGACTGCATGTTTTTTCAACTTTGAGGGAGGCCCAGCTTAAACATGCTGTGTACCTAATGCGTTGGGCCAAATAGGATGAACTGATAACCAAGGACCCTGCGTCCAGGTAGGGGGATATGCCCAGCAGGAGCAGCTCTGAAGATGTGGTGTTGTAGACAGAGTTGTGGCTCTGAGGGGCAACATTTCTGCAGCCAAAAGCGTAATGGGATCTCATCTAGTCCTGCGTGCCACAGAGGTGGGGTAGGACTTAAAAGGAAAACAACAGAAAAGGAAGGAGGAAAGTTCCACACGTAGGCACGGCTTCTGCCAAGGCCCCAAGACAGAGAGAACCCAGTATGTCTGGAGACTGAGGGGCCTCTGCCTGGAGATATCCAGGTGACTATGTGGAAGCCTTCCCAACGCGAAGCCCAGAGGCCCTGCCAGGAGGGCAGCCTACCCACTCGAGGTGCTGAACACATGTGGACATGCAAGGGAGCGGCAACCTAGGGAGGCTGCATTTGGGGGTTGGCAGGGCTGGGGCCAGGGGCACTTGGGTCGGTGGGGGGTGTAGGAAAAGGACCCACTGAGAGTCAACTGGGAAGCATCAGCACTGTTTAGGGCAGAGCATTGATGGTTGACTTGTTATAAAGACGATTCTGGATGCTTTTTAAAATGAGGCTTTAGGATGGCAAAGACAGAAGAAGACCAATAAGGAGACAAGAAACAGGGCTTGGGCCAGGGCAGGGAGCAAAGGGATGAACACTGGTCAGAGCTGGGACACATTCTGAATGGGCATGCTTTAAGAAAGGACTCTAGAAGGGTCCTACCATTTTGACCTGAGGGCCTGGAAGAGCTTTGAGTGGAGACTTGGAGCAGCCAGGACAAGGCAGGACTGGAGATAGGCTTGGGAGTGATCAGCCCTCAGCTTGTCAGGGTAAAAGGCCTTGAGCAGCTCCTGGGAGCACCAGCCCAAAAGCCCCCAGAAAAACCAGGATACCAGGTCAAATAGACTGACAGGCAAGTGACCTGAAACCACACTTGAGGTCCCAGCACCTGTGGGCAGAGACTTTGCAGAGGAACCTGTGCTGGGGTCAGGGCTGGGAGAGGCACACACCTTCTGGGACAGGTGAGGTGTAAGAGGGAGCAGGTATGGGCGAAGCAATCGGACATCAGGCATGTGGGAAGGGGAAGGACAGAGGGGCTCATGGGATATGAAGTCCAGGAAGACCTCAATGATGCAAGGAGGGGGTGAGGGGAAAGGTTATAGAGCCCTGAAGGATGTGAAGGAGATGGGTCAGAATACCAGGAAATGCCAGCCTGATGAACTGCACATGTGGAAGGGTCATAGCATCTGCCTGGCAGGTACCCTTCCCCACAGAACTGCAGTGGTCCAGGCCAGTTTTGACTTCCCACACCCTCAAAGTCACCACTGGAGAAGAATCTATACAACAAAGAACAAGGGCCTAATCCGGCAGATCTGGTCTGGACTAAGGTGGTCGTAATTTATTCTTTTTTTTTTTTTCAGACAGAGTCTCATTATGTTGCCATCAGTAGAGTGCCATGGAGTCATAGTTTACAGCAGGGGTCCTCAAACTTTTTAAACAGGGGTCCAGTTCACTGTCCCTCAGACTGTTGGAGGGCCAAAGTGCAGGTCCCGGGACAAGTCAGCTGCTAAGCAGGACAGGCAGTGGCAGCAAAAACACCTGGCGGGCCAGATAAATGTCCTGGGCGGGCTGCATGTGGCCCATGGGCTGTAGTTTGAAGACGCCTGGCTTACAGCAATCTCTAACTCTTGGGCTTAACTATTCTCTTGCCTCAGCTTCTCAGGTAGCTGGGACTATAGGTGCCCGCCATAATGCCCGGCTATTTTTTTGTTGTTGCGGTTGTCATTATTTAGTAGGCCAGGGCTGGGTTCGAACCCGCCAGCCTTGGTGTATGTGGCTGACACTGTGCTACGGATGCCAAGCCTTGTTTATTTTTTTTTGAGACAGAGTGCTGCTGTGGCGTCACAGCTCACAGCAACCTCCAACTCTTGTGCTTAAGTGATTCGCTTACCTTAGCATACCAAGTATCTGGGACTACAGGTGCCTGCCACAATGCCCAGCTATTTTTGTTGTTGTTGTTGTAGTTGTCACTGTTGTTTAGTTGGCCTGGGCCGCGTTTGAACCTGCCAGCCCCAATGTATGTGGCTGGCACCCTAACCACTGAGCTATAGTGGCTGAGCCCTGAGGTGTTCATTTATTTTATTTATTTATTTTTTGTAGAGATAGTCTCACTCTATCACCCTTGTAGAGTGCTGTGGCATCATACAGTTCATAGCAACCTCCAACTCCTGGGCTTAGGCGCTTCTCCTCCCTCAGCCTCCTGAGTAGCTGGGACTATAGGTGCCCGACACAACGCCTTCTTATTATTTTTTTGTTGTTGGAGCAGTTTGGCTGGGGACAGGCCCAAACCCGCCACTCTCGGTATATGGGGCCAGCACCCCACCCACTGAGCAACAGGCGCCGCCCAGGTGTCTGTTTTAATAGAAAACATAGGCTAAGAGAGGTGGCTCACACATGTAATCCCAGCACTCTGGGAGGCTGAGGCAGAAGGACTGCTTGAGCTCATGAGTTTGAGACCAGCCTAAGCTAGAGCGAGACCCCATCACTACTAAAAATAGAAAAACTGAGGCAAGAGGATTGCTTGAGCCCAAGAGTTGGAGATTGCTGTGAGCTATGATGCCATAGCACTCTACCCAGAGTGACAGTTCGAGACTCTTGTCTCAAAAAAACA